GTGTGACGTTAAGATGACTACACGGTCACCTTCATCTTATAACACAACCGATAGAAGATTAGAGTGTGACGTTAAGATGACTACACGGTCACCTTTATCTTATAACACAACCGATAGATTAGAGTGTGACGTTTCGATAACTACACGGTCACCTTCATCTTATAACACAACCGGTAGTAGATTAGAGTGTGACGTTTCGATAACTACACGGTCACCTTCATCTTATAACACAACCGATAGATTAGAGTGTGACGTTAAGATGACTACACGGTCACCTTCATCTTATAACACAACCGATAGATCAGAGTGTGACGTTAAGTTTACTACACGGTCACCTTCATCTTATAACACAACCGATAGATTAGAGTGTGACGTTTCGATAACTACACGGTCACCTTCATCTTATAACACAACCGATAGATTAGAGTGTGACGTTTCGATAACTACACGGTCACCTTCATCTTATAACACAACCGATAGATTAGAGTGTGACGTTTCGATAACTACACGGTCACCTTCATCTTATAACACAACCGATAGATTAGAGTGTGACGTTTCGATAACTACACGGTCACCTTCATCTTATAACACAACCGATAGATTAGAGTGTGACGTTTCGATAACTACACGGTCACCTTCATCTGATAACACAACCGATAGATTAGAGTGTGACGTTTCGATAAGTACACGGTCACCTTCATCTTATAACACAGCCGATAGATTAGAGTGTGACGTTTCGATGATAACACAACCGATAGATTAGAGTGTGACGTTTCGATAAGTACACGGTCACCTTCATCTTATAACACAGCCGATAGATTAGAGTGTGACGTTTCGATAACTACACGGTCACCTTCATCTTATAACACAACCGATAGATTAGAGTGTGACGTTTCGATAACTACACGGTCACCTTCATCTTATAACACAACCGATAGAAGATTAGAGTGTGACGTTAAGTTGACTACACGGTCACCTTCATCTTTTAACACAACCGGTAGAAGATTAGAGTGTGACGTTAAGTTGGCTACACGGTGAACTTCATCTTTTAACACAACCGGTAGTAGATTAGAGTGTGACGTTTCGATAACTACACGGTCACCTTCATCTTATAACACAACCGATAGATTAGAGTGTGACGTTTCGATAACTACACGGTGAACTTCATGTGTACGTATAAATCATAATCCAAAACAAATAAATAATTAAGCACACATGAATTTCTATTATGAAAATATCTCCATATAAGTTACCACAAGAAAACCACTGAATACATGTGCACCTCGACAATACTAAAAAACACACCCATCGAAAAATAAACAGATAAAAGTGATATTTGCCATCAATGCCTTCAGTATCGAATGTTTAAGGAAATCCCAAGACCTTTTTGAAGATTTTTCCAGAAACAGACACAGGTCGTCAACAATTTATCGAAATGTTAAATACATCATATACAAGCTCCTTTAAGTTTACAAAATATGCTGAATCTTTCAGAACGTTTATAGTACTATCAGTTTATGATGATGTAAATGTGAGACATTACCATATCTATGTAGGGACGTACAGACAAGCGTTCTATGTCGGTATAGGAAATCTTCAATATGTATTTATAAATAACTTACTTCAGTTAGGATATCGGTGTCTATTGTTGGTGTTGGCGTCTGTAAAATAATGATGTATCAGTGATTATACGTTTAGCATGTTACAGACTCATACATAAATAAGGACTTTAAGCAGAGCAGTTATATACTAGTTACTGATTAAAGGAACAAAACATTTGTTTCAAACCTGGAATAGGAAATATTATCATCGAAATGATAAGATAGACAAAAATATATTAACTAAATTAAAGTACTGCTGTAATATAACAATATTGCATCGCAAAAGACAGTATCATGTCAAGAATATATATTCCCGCCCCATGGCAAAGTCGTATATACCTCGGAATCAACATGTATCAAACAATATAGAAATATTTAAAACATTATTATTTCTTTTATTTCCTCCAAGTGTGAAGAGTTGTACAAAAAGAACATACATTGACATTACAGAAAGTAATAGTGCGTTTGTACACAAATATACACATAAGAAGCATTTAAGTTAATATAAAGTAAACAGTAGACACAGAGTTTACGTGCGTATATTGTATACATACAACAACTCCTATAGTTAAGAATATAAACGCGTGAAGTAAGCGTTTTCCATATGGAACGATATAATATAAAGAAAACTTATATAGTAAACACATTGCATACAAGAATCATTTCAATTACATACAAAGTGAACAATAGACACAGAGTTTACGTGCGTATATTGTATACATACAACAACTCCTAAAGTAAAGAAAATAAACGCACGAAGTACAATATCAAGATATATATATATAATATTGTATGAAGTAATGCAAAAGAAAAAAAATCTTAATTTTCTTCTTAAAAAAATCATTTCGGGTATTTTTTCCCAGTTAAATCCAATAAATGTGCATATTACAACCATAGGATTTAAGACGTGAATATTTCATATTGAAGTCAAAATGACCAAACATTACAACTATATAGCATGATAATATTGCAGGATTCTGATGATGAAAATTATTGAGTTTATTCTAAAATCCTCTAGTTCAAATGGGGATATATCGTAGTCGATAATTCCCCCGAGAAGAACATGTATTAGTTGATAATTTGACAATTCAGTAAGGTAAACTACAAAATTTATATCTTTCACTGTGCTTAGTAATATAGAAATATCTAAAACATGACATCTTCAAATTTTAAAAAAATGGTTTATGGAAGGCACACCCACATGTCATAACAAGAGACCACAGAGGAATCTGGACGACCTACATTTTTCTTAAATATTTATGATAAGTATGCTGAATATTTTCCCTTTTTTACTCTTCTTTGTTCATATTTGTTCTTGACTATTTGTTACAAACTGTCTTACAAACTTTGGGAATGATATATCCCCCCCCCCACCTTTTCTTATGAATGAACGATAATAAACTTGGTCTGCCATATCCAAGTTAGCCATCTGTCTGCTCTTGTTTTCATGAAAAAAAAATGAAAGAAACTTAATTCTGAAATTTAAGAACTTATATTCCATTAAGTTCTTCTCAAGAGATAGAGATCAACAAAGTGTCAGACAAAGAGATTGCTTCCTGGCGGCCATATTGGTTTTTTTCTGATCAGTCCAAAAATAGACTATGCACAAGAAGAGGCCAATGGGGAACTTACATATGGAATCTGAGAACAATCCATTCGGAACTTAAAAAGCAAAGGCAATAACGCACATTCAATATTAAAACCGTTTGAAAAACGTACTAGAGAAAAGAATGGCAAGCGGACAATTATAGTAGCCCTTGTTTTGTTTGTCGCATTGTTGAATAGGCGATCTTGCCTGCAATGACTAATTAACATTTTCATTGTGATGCCAATATCTTTAGCGATCAAAACATGAAGATCATGATTCATGGCATAGCCATTTCTTCTCATAAATCTATAGACCAAATTTAACCGAATTATCGCTATATGTACAGAGTAAGAAAGATTCCCTTGACTGAACAATTTCCCAAAGGCAATCGATAGAAAGCATCCGTCATTGCATTTTTCAGACTGAAAAATTTGGTCTTGTGTTGAAATTAGAAGTTACAATTTACTGAGAACGAGTAACAAATTTTGATATTTTTTACTTGCGTTTGATCAACTAGCTAACAACATTTCCAATTAGAAACAATTCCCGTAGTACAGGTCGTCAGGAACAACAGGACAACAATAGTAGGAAATTATCTTTGTAGTGTAATGTACTGATCCTGGTCAGTTTAGATTAAATCACTGTTCCTTTTCTTGATTTACTTATGTCCAGATCGAAAACTCCAGACTTAAATGTGAGACGGGATCATGCGGCGAAGTACTAATGATAAATCACGTGTATACAGTCCAGCAAACGGAATGGTTTCTTTTCCCCCGTTATGTTGGAATAGAAAGTTTCTCAATAAATAGCGATAACAATCTTTCCTACTCAAAATAAAAGACGGCCGCTTGTCAGTAATTCTATTTTTCAGATCAGTCTAAAGATTAAAAGGCCACAACAAAGGTTTTGGAAAGATCCATCCAGTACTTCTTCAGAATTTACCATAGACAAAAATTAAGATGGTGCCTTTCGGCCATTTTGGAAAGATCCATCCAGTACTTCTTCAGAATTTATCATAGACAAAAATCAAGATGGTGCCTTTCAGCCAGGCAGCTATATACGATGATGGTGGGCTAAAACGACTTAGAATATTTTATCATATTGCGCTCTCGTGATAAAATACTATGTTTTCACGTCACTTGCTGAAATAGAACTGATTTTATAGCAAGGAACAAAATGATTACATATCTTCTAACGAGGTAAACAAATAGCAAGAAAAACAAAACACAAACAAAGCATTCCCGTAATTCTAAACAGGTACACCTATCTACTTAAAGACCACATCCGGTGTATACTTTCATGTCTAACCAAGATGAGAATGAGAGGCATCTGATAGCTAGAGGTAAAACACCAGGGACATTTATAAAATGTCCCGCTTTTTTTTCAGATCAATTCATCTGAGTGGATATCTCATTTTCACAACGTGTTTTTATTAAAAAGAATAAGGACAACGTTAAAATGTTATTTTTAAATGTATCAAACCATAGTTTCTTTTCTTTTATTGTTGTAACAAGCATACTGCCCTTAACTGCGACTGCTGAAAGTTTTTATACACGAACGGAAAAAGCATCATACATGTATACTTGTGACCTGTCGTGTTTTATCTTAGATATAACCAACAAAATATCGCTATCCATTTAATTGGCTTCACATGTTATCGTGACCATTCTTCAAGAATGAAATAAAATGCTTAAAACAATCAGATTATAAGATTTATTGAATAAAAAGATTATGTTTGTAGTGTTCATTGTGTAATTACTAGATGTGATTGTGCACAACTAAATTATAAAATCAATTTACCATGAACTTACCGTGGGAGTTGTAATTCCTGGGACACCAGGTATTGAATTTAGCGTATTCATAGCAGATATAAAACTCGGGTTGTTGCGCTCCGCATCAATAGCATCTAAGTTGTGTTGGGCAGATTCGGCACCTAAATAAACCACAATCAACAAAACATAAAGAACAACCTGTTAAAAACCCAAGTAGACACACAGAGGAAATCTGGAGTTTTTTTTTCATTCTAAAACATTAGCTTTTCTAGTAGACATTTAAGAATTCAAAAATATCATTCTTATTCAATTACTGCAGTGAAACTTGTGTTTTCTTCAGACATCAAAGGTTTGCTAATTTTGTTTTCTTTTGAACAATGACGACAGCTGCTGATAGTTTTTTAACTGTATCACCAAACAGTGTATCGGTACGCACGAATGAAATCATTAACTTCTGTTAACTGTTTAATATAACACCCAATAGTGTATCGGTATGTACGTATGTAGTCATTAACTTCTGTTAACTGTTTAATATAACACCCAATAGTGTATCGGTATGTACGTATATAGTCATTAACTTCTGTTAACTGTTTAATATAACACACATTAGTGTATCGGTATGTACGTATGTAGTCATTAACTTCTGTTAACTGTTTAATATAACACCCAATAGTGTATCGGTATGTACGTATATAGTCATTAACTTCTGTTCACTGTTCACTATAACACCCAATATTGTATCGGTATGTACGTATATAGTCATTAACTTCTGTTATCTGTTTAATATAACACCCAATAGTGTATCGGTATGTACGTATATAGTCATTAACTTCTGTTCACTGTTCACTATAACACCCAACAGTATATAGTCATTAACTTCTGTTATCTGTTTAATATAACACCCAATAGTGTATCGTATATAGTCATTAACTTCTGTTATCTGTTTAATATACGTATATAGTCATTAACTTCTGTTCACTGTTCACTATAACACCCAACAGTATATAGTCATTAACTTCTGTTATCTGTTTAATATAACACCCAGTAGTGTATCGGTATGTACGTATATAGTCATTAACTTCTGTTAACTGTTTAATATAACACACATTAGTGTATCGGTATGTACGTATATAGTCATTAACTTCTGTTATCTGTTCACTATAACACACATTAGTATATCTGTATGTAGGGGTTCCTACATGAGCCGTCTTTCCATTTCATTTGCATTGTTTTCAGTTGATCAGTTTTATAGTCAATATTGATGGATTAACAGGCAACATGGAAAAAATTTTCTCAATAAAATAACCGGAGCGGTTATTCAAAGCATTAATATTTAAATAAGATATCGACAACTTTGGAATAACAATTTTAACACAACATCGAAGAAAATAAATTAAAGGTAAATATATATATAATTAAAATATGACCGGAAGAAACTCAAAGACTCTTTAAAAATGAAGGTATTTCGGAGGTTTTTATACAAAACATTCTTCTCATCGATGACTCCCGCCATGTAAATCTTGATCAATTCAAATAAGTACTGTCACGTTCCCTAATGAGAACAATGTAAACAACAAGGGAACCAACAGGTATACATACTAATGAGCATCAAACATGTCCCACGTCATTTGAACAAGGAAAGACAATATGTTACATCTCCCCATATCTTCATCAACCTGCATCTGAAACCCTGGGTGTAAGTTTGTCAGTTGCCGATATCTTGCACGAAAATCGTGATATTGGAGAAAAAAAAATCGCGGTGGACAAATTGTTTATTGTGTCCTTGATTGAAACAACTCAAAACTAAAAAAAAGACCAAAAGAAAAACAAAATGACTCCAAATCCCACCGATACGAAGAGGGGTAACTCTTCTCCTACTCACTTATACCTACGATGAGTGCAAACACATTACTTTTAATATTTACATTTATTCTTAAGAAGCTGTTATCACACTTTGACCCACTCGCCGACTAGTTTTCTAGGTTATATAATTTCATATGATAAAATCTTATCAATAGAATACGGTTTATTGGAGATGTCTGGATAGACAAATCAGCTAGTCACGCAACATACTGTTCATACCCACGAAGTGAACCGTTATCATTCTCTGGTAACGATAATATATTTTTGGTATATGAATATTTTTATTGACAAGAACAGTCACTACCTGTTTATTGTGTACGGTAGTGATAATGTTTTATAAACGACTTGGTAAAATGGTAAAAGAAAGTTACATAATGTGTTGTGTTTTCCCTATATATTAACTGAAATCAACTATTTGTGGTCAAGTGATGTTATAAGTACATACTGTCTTGAAGACGTTGCACAGCCCCTCCTGTCAGACTGGACACTGCGTACTCGGATAACGTTTGACTGAAATCTGTAATTAAACTTCAAGTTTATGGTTCTGGTGTGTTTTTAATGCATATCTATTTTATTGAGAATTGAATTGTTGCAGAACCACAGAAATAATATCACGTCATCAGTTTATGATTGATAAATAACTTTTATCTATAAAGTAACTTCTGTGTACCTCAATACAAAACCTCACTATAGATTTCAGGTTATTTGTCACTGATATAATCAGTACATACCTGTTGAGTCATTCATTTAATGAGTACATACCTGTTGAGTCATTCATTTAATGAGTACATACCTGTTGAGTCATTGATATAATCAGTACATATACCTGTTGAGTCATTCATTTAATGAGAACATACCTGTTGAGTCATTCCTTTAATAAGAACATACCTGTTGAGTCATTCATCTAATAAGAGCATACCTGTTGAGTCATTCATTTAATGAGAACATACCTGTTGAGTAATTCATTTAATGAGTATATACCTGTTGAGTCATTCATTTAATGAGAACATACCTGTTGAGTCATTCCTTTAATAAGAACATACCTGTTGAGTCATTCATTTAATAAGAGCATACCTGTTGAGTCATTCATTTAATGAGAACATACCTGTTGAGTAATTCATTTAATGAGTATATACCTGTTGAGTCATTCATTTAATGAGAACATGCCTGTTGAGTCATTCATTTAATGAGAACATACCTGTTGAGTCATTCATTTAATGAGTACATACCTGTTGAGTCATTAATATAATGAGAACATACCTGTTGAGTCATTCATTTAATGAGTACATACCTGTTGAGTCATTCATTTAATGAGTACATACCTGTTGCGTCATTCATTTAATGAGAACATACCTGTTGAGTCATTCATTTAATGAGTACATACCTGTTGAGTCATTGATATAATCAGTACATATACCTGTTGAGTCATTCATTTAATGAGAACATACCTGTTGAGTCATTCCTTTAATAAGAACATACCTGTTGAGTCATTCATTTAATGAGTATACTTGTTGAATAATTCATTTAATAAGAACATACCTGTTGAGTCATTCATTTAATGAGAACATACCTGTTGAGTCATCCATTTAATGAGTACATATCTTTTGAGTCATTCATTTAATGAATACATACCTGTTGAGTCATTCATTTAATGAGTACATACCTGTTGAGTCATTCATTTAATGGGAACATACCTGTTGAGTCATTCATTTAATGAATACATACCTGTTGAGTCATTCATTTAATGAGAACATACCTGTTGAGTCATTCATTTAATGAGTACATACCTGTTGAGTCATTCATTTAATGAGTACATACCTGTTGAGTCATTGATATGAGAACAGACTTGTTGAGTCATTAATATAATGAGAACATACCTGTTGAGTCATTCCTTTAATAAGAACATACCTGTTGAGTCATTCATTTAATAAGAACATACCTGTTGAGTCATTCATTTAATGAGAACATACCTGTTGAGTCATTCCTTTAATAAGAACATACCTGTTGAGTCATTCATTTAATGAGTACATACCTGTTGCGTCATTCATTTAATGAGAACATACCTGTTGGGTCATTCATTTAATGAGTACATACCTGTTGAGTCATTCATTTAATGAGAACATACCTGTTGAGTCATTCATTTAATGAGAACATACCTGTTGAGTCATTCATTTAATGAGTACATACCTGTTGAGTCATTCATTTAATGGGAACATACCTGTTGAGTCATTCATTTAATGAGAACATACCTGTTGAGTCATTCATTTAATGAGTACATACCTGTTGAGTCATTAATATAATGAAAACATGCCTGTTGAGTCATTCCTTTAATAAGAGCATACCTGTTGAGTCATTCATTTAATGAGAACATACCTGTTGAGTCATTCATTTAATGAGTACATACCTGTTGAGTCATTTATTTAATGAGTACATACCTGTTGAGTCATTGATATGAGAACAGACTTGTTGAGTCATTAATATAATGAGAACATACCTGTTGAGTCATTCATTTAATGAGAACATACCTGTTGAGTCATTCCTTTAATAAGAACATACCTGTTGAGTCATTGATATAATAAGTACATACTTGTTGAGTCCAAAAGCCTGTTGATTTCATCAGTGGTCAATTGGAAATTGATCTTTATCTGTTCAATTTGCTACAGAAAGAACAATGGCGTGACATTAGATAGTTAAACACTTGGATATACAATGTACCGGTGATTTAAACCGATATTTCAATAATCGATATCATGATTTCTCGTAGAAATTTATTGAGTTTGAGTTACTGAATTAGGAAGACCACTGTCAGTAACATGTATTTTAACGGTAACTTTCAAGCAGCTATATCATATGACTGATTAAAGCTTGACCAAAGGAATATCTTCATCTGTCTTGTTATGGCATTTGTGATCGTTATAAGTGACACTGTATTCTAGGAGTACATCCCAATATGAGTTTGTCTACAAATATATGATAGCAGCCAATGCGTGATTACTTTTCATAGGCTTGCTGCTGTTTAATGCCGAATATGATTAACTGGATTTAAACTGGTATTTGTTGTCGACAATGTAATTCATCTGGTGGAACAGCCAGATCATAATGATCACGTGCTAGATGTCACGTAACATATTATAAATTATGTTTTTATGGATAATTTATACAGCGACATTGCAAATGCAAATGGATAATGTAGATATCAATGAATCAACCTACAGCCTCTGATGAGTTCAGAAACGTGTCGAAGTCGTCCAAGTTGTCATTGACCGTCCCTGTGACTTTGTCAAGGGCAGTAGTTATCCGCTCGTTCGACACGTACACACACGCATTACCTACGCTGTAAGACATGAATGTAATATTTAGGCAATTAGGTGTTGTCATATATAGGAATTTGATACAACATAGATATATGGTATTGCGTACAGCTGACACCGAGCAATCTGACTTACATGGTAAATACGACGATAACGAAGAATATGCAACCGTACACCTTTAGTTTACAGGATGCCTTTGGGTCTACCGTCTTGGGACGGTCACAGCACGCTCGGCAACAGTTACGACAACAGCAAAAACAGCAACCGAGGATTGGAAAGAGGAGGACGAAGAGGAATCCAAGCACTACTGCTATAGTGTACCCAATGTAGTCCAGGAGGATCTGACAGTGTAAATAGGACACACATATATATATACTAACAATTGACCTTGACCTCCCACTGCTATAGTGTACCCAATATAGTCCAGGAGGATCTGACAGTGTAAATAGGACACATATATATACTAACAATTGACCTTGACCTCCCACTGCTATAGTGTACCCAATGTAATCCAGGAGGATCTGACAGTGTAAATAGGACACACATATATATACTAACAATTGACCTTGACCTCCCACTGCTATAGTGTACCCAATGTAGTCCAGGAGGATCTGACAGTGTCAATAGGACACATATATATACTAACAATTGACCTTGACCTCCCACTGCTATAGTGTACCCAATGTAGTCCAGGAGGATCTGACAGTGTAAATAGGACACATATATATATGCTAACAATTGACCTTGACCTCCCACTGCTATAGTGTACCCAATATAGTCCAGGAGGATCTGACAGTGTAAATAGGACACATATATACTAACAATTGACCTTGACCTCCCACTGCTATAGTGTACCCAATATAGTCCAGGAGGATCTGACAGTGTAAATAGGACACATATATATACTAACAATTGACCTTGACCTCCCACTGCTATAGTGTACCCAATGTAGTCCAGGAGGATCTGACAGTGTAAATAGGACACATATATATACTAACAATTGACCTTGACCTCCCACTGCTATAGTGAACCCAATATAGTCCAGGAGGATCTGACAGTGTAAATAAGACACATATATATACTAACAATTGACCTTGACCTCCCACTGCTATAGTGTACCCAATGTAGTCCAGGAGGATCTGACAGTGTAAATAGGACATATATATATATGCTAACAATTGACCTTGACCTCCCACTGCTATAGTGTACCCAATATAGTCCAGGAGGATCTGACAGTGTAAATAGGACACATATATACTAACAATTGACCTTGACCTTCAACTGCTATAGTGTTCCTAATGTAGTCCAGGAGGATCTGACAGTGTAAATAGGACACATATATATATACTAACAATTGACCTTGACCTCCCACTGCTATAGTGTACCCAATATAGTCCAGGAGGATCTGACAGTGTAAATAGGACACATATATATACTAACAATTGACCTTGACCTCCCACTGCTATAGTGTACCCAATGTAGTCCAGGAGGATCTGACAGTGTAAATAGGACACATATATATACTAACAATTGACCTTGACCTCCCACTGCTATAGTGTACCCAATGTAGTCCAGGAGGATCTGACAGTGTAAATAGGACACATATATATACTAACAATTGACATTGACCTCCCACTGCTATAGTGTACCCAATGTAGTCCAGGAGGATCTGACAGTGTAAATAGGACACATATATACTAATAATTGACCTTGACCTCCCACTGCTATAGTGTACCCAATGTAGTCCAGGAGGATCTGACAGTGTAAAAAGGACATATATATATATATATATATATATATACTAACAATTGACCTTGACCTCCTACTGCTATAGTGTACCCAATATAGTCCAGGAGGATCTGACAGTGTAAATAGGACATATATATACTAATAATTGACCTTGACATCCCACTGCTATAGTGTACTCAATGTAGTCCAGGAGGATCTGACATTGTAAATAGGACATATATATATATACTAACAATTGACCTTGACCTCCCACTGCTATAGTGTACCCAATATAGTCCAGGAGGATATGACAGTGTAAATAGGACACATATATATACTAACAATTGACCTTGACCTCCCACTGCTATAGTGTACCCAATGTAGTCCAGGAGGATCTGACAGTGTAAATAGGACACATATATATACTAACAATTGACCTTGACCTCCCACTGCAATAGTGTACCCAATGTAGTCCAGGAGGATCTGACAGTGTAAAAAGGACATATATATATATATACTAACAATTGACCTTGACCTCCTACTGCTATAGTGTACCCAATATAGTCCAGGAGGATCTGACATTGTAAATAGGACATATATATACTAATAATTGACCTTGACATCCCACTGCTATAGTGTACTCAATGTAGTCCAGGAGGATCTGACATTGTAAATAGGACATATATACTAACAACTGACCTTGACCTCCCGCTTTGTATCGTTGCGAACCGTTTCTTAGGCCTCCTCTCACCAAAATAAGAAACGCTCAAGACATAAGATACGAAGACAACGTGATGCGGAATCCAACATGAATTAAACATAAATAACATAAATCAAAAACTGATAGCTTTCACTATAGTGGCTT